GGGGGGGGAGTCAGGGGTGGAAAATTATTCACAGGCTGGAGGGCAGACACATGGTAATGTGGGTGACAGGGCAGACAATATACAACAAGAGGAAGGTTGGCCGAGGAGAGTTAAAAGTAACCGGAGACACAGGGAGAAATGCAAGAGTTAAAGTGAATGCAGGTAAACACTGTTAACTAACTGTTGGTACATGGAAGGGATTACCATCATTGTAATGAAACAAAGTATATGATTTAGTAAATGTAAAACTGATCTGCTCTGTAAATCGTCACTCAATTCACAGTAAAAAGTAAACAAAAAAGAATTGTTCTAAAATGTTCCCAAATACTTAAATCTCTCCCCACCTTCAGTTGTTTTAATTGTCCATCTCTGGTCACCCTCCAGCTGCATTAATCCTTTATTTTCTATTGTTTCACAATATCTGCTTGATTTTTATTGTTGTTATTACAGTACTTTTGAGATATTAATTCACATATCACCCAATTCACCCATTTAAAACGTGCAATTCAATAGTTTTCATTTTAGAAAGCAAATATACACCACCACTGGATAAGATTCCAATCTCCCTATATCCTCACCAACACTTGTTAGGTTGTTGTTGTCATGTGCCATTGAGTTGGTTCTGACTCACAGCGACCCTGTGCACAACAGAACAAAATACTGCCCGGTCCTGTGCCCACCTCACAATGGTTGTTACGCGTGAGCCCATTGCTGCTGCCACTATGCCAATCCATGTCATTGGGGTCTTCCTCTTTTTCATTGACCTTCCACTTTACCAAGCATGATAGCCTTCTCCAGGGACTGGTCTCTTATGATAACATGTCCCAAGTGTGAAAATTAAAGTCTGGCTATTCTAGCTTCTAAGGAGCATTCTGGCTGTACTTCTTTCAAGAAATATTTATTATGGCAGTCCATGGGAACTTTCAAAATGTTCCTCTCCAACACCATAACTCAAATGCATCAATTCTTCTATGGTTTTCCTTATTCATTGTTCAACTTTCACATGCATTTGAGGCTATTGAAAATACCATGGCTTGGGTCAGGTGCACCTTAGTTCTCAAATTAATTTCTTTGTTCTTCAACACTTTAAAGAGGTCTTGTGCAGTTTTGCCTAATGCCATACATCGTTTGATTTCTTCACTGCTGCTTCCATGAATGTAGATTGTGGGTCCAAACAAAAAGAAGTCTCTGACAACTTTGATCTTTTCTCCACTTACATTGATATTATTTATTGGTCCAGTTGTGAGGATTGTTGTTTTCTTTTCATTGACTGAGGTGCAATCTACAAGGAAGACTGTAGTCTTCAATCTTCAAAAAATATTTTGAGCCCTTTTCATTTCCAGCAAGAAAGATTGTGTCATCTGCACAGAGCAGGCTGTTAATGAGTCTTCCCCCAATCCTGATGCCATGTTCTACTTCATAGAACCCAGGTACGTAGATTATTTGTTCAGCTACAAACTGAGTAAGTATGGTGAAAGAATACAGCCCTGGTACATACCTTTCCTGATTTTAAACCATTAAGTATCCCTTGTTCTGTTTGAACAAGTGCCTCTTGGTCTATGTACAGGTTCCTGAGGAGCACAGTTAAGTGTTCTTGAATACCCATTCTTTGCAAGGTTCATACAGTCAAAAGTCCTTGCATAGTCAATAAAACACAAGTAAACATCTTTGCTTCCATCTGATGCCAGCATTGATATCCCTAGTTCCATGCCTTCTTCTGAATCTGGCTTAAATTCCAGGCAGTTGCATATTATATTAATGATACTGTTTGATCATTTCCACATTCCATTGGGTCACTTCTTTTTGGAATGGGCACAAATATGGATCTCTTCCAATTAGCTGGCCAGGTAACTGTCCTCCAAATTTCTTGGCATAGATGAGTGAGTGTCTCCAGTGCTATGTCAGTTTGTTGAAAGATCTCCATTTGTACTCCGTCAATTCCTGGAGCCTTGTTTTTGTCAATACCTTCTGTGTACCTTGGACACTTTTATTATCATTGGTTCTTCACTTTAGACATGTTTTGTTATAATTTTAGACAGTCTACATAAATTTGAACTTGTATTTATTTGGGTTCAGTTATAACATGTTGTTAAGTGTTGTCGAGTCGGTTCTGACCCATAGCGACCCTGTACAGGGTTTCTGAGGCTGTACATCTTTACAGGAGTAGAAAGCCTCATCTTTCTCCCACAGAGCAGCTGGTAGTTTCGAACTGCTGACCTTGTGGTTCACAGTCCAATTCATAACCAAATCAAAGCACTGGTCCTCTGAAATAAAGCAGGCAATCACCATTCAATAAACACACTTGATTTATTTTATAATAAAAGGGTTAAGCTTACAACCAAACTTTATAAAAAGTTTAGCATGAATAAGTACATCATCACACTTTTTTTTGCAGAAATATACATTGCTGCCACTATACAAGAAAACTCTAATTAAAGAGTTCACATATATATATATATTTGTTGTTATTGTTGCTATGTGCT